AGGGCATATACAAACCAGCACCAGCCCATTTTCATCCCCTGTACTCCTAGTAAAAAAGAAGGATGGTAGTTGGCGGTTTTGTGTAGATTATCGGGCCCTGAATCRGATTACAGTGAAGGACAAGTTCCCGATACCCCTCATTGATGAACTGTTGGACGAGTTAGGAGAAGCACAGGTGTTCTCCAAACTGGACCTGCAATCCGGGTATCATCAGATCCGGGTTCACCAGGCCGACATCCATAAGACAGCCTTCAGAACCCATGATGGCTATTATGAGTTTCTAGTTATGTCGTTTGGGCTCACAAACGTCCCCTCCACCTTCCAGGCCCTCATGAATGACATTTTCAGGCCTTTCTTAAGGCAATTTATTTTAGTATTCTTCGATGACATTCTGGTTTACAGCAAGGATTGGGGCACCCATATGGAACATCTGAGACTTACCCTCACCACTCTAAGGGAACATCAGTTACATGCCAAAATGACCAAGTGTTCTTTTGGACAAAAACAGATACAATACTTAGGCCACGTGGTTGCAGCAGGGTGGGTCATGGCAGACCCAGAAAAGATAGATGCCATCCAAAAATGGCCCAAGCCCAAGCCCACTATTGTATGGGCTCATGGCCGCCCCTCTAACGCGTCTGTTGAAGAAGGATTCTTTTAGCTGGGCTGATGAGGCTCAATGGGCCTTTGAAGACTTGAAGACAGCAATTTCGAGCCCTTCAATCCTTACTCTTCTGGATTTCACCCAGCCCTTTGAGATTGAGTGTGATGCCTCAGGTGCAGGGGTGGGGGCCGTCTTGATGCAGAAGGGACAGCCCATTGCTTACTTCAGCAAGGCCTTATCAGCCGCCCACCAGAACCAATCCACTTATGTCAAGGAGATGATGGCAGTGGTAATGGCAGTCCAAAAATGGCGTACATACCTGTTGGGACGCCAATTTATCATAAGGTCAGACCAACGAAGTCTGAAGTATATAGCAGAACAAAGAGTGCACACCCTGGAGCAGCAAAAGTGGCTTAGTAAACTGATGGGCTTCGACTACCGAATAGAGTATAAACCTGGGCCCGCCAACAGGGTAGCTGATGCCTTATCGAGGGTAGAGGAGCTGGCCCAACTAACCTACTCTCAGCCCAGTTTTCCCTTGTTTGAAGCCATACGTCAAGAAGCAAGGTCTGATCCGCAGCTACAGGACATTAGGGAAAAATTGAGGCAGAACCCTTCCCAGGTTGCAGGGTACCAAATTGTGGGACCAGACCTCTTCTTTAAGGGACGATTCGTGATTGCTCCAAATTCCAGCCACAAAACTGAACTATTGAAGTTGTTTCATGATTCCTCTTTGGGAGGACATTCAGGAGTGCTAAGGACTCTAAAGAGGCTCAGCAGCCACTACCATTGGGTAGGAATGCGCAAGGACGTGTTACACTATGTATCCGAATGCCAGACCTGTCAATAGCAGATATACTCCTCACAGTCTCCCGCGGGCCTCCTGCAACCCCTCAAGATTCCAGAGCAAGTATGGGAAGACCTCTCCATGGACTTCATCACCGGACTTCCCCGTTCTTTAGGGAAGGAAGTTATCATGGTAGTAGTTGACCGTCTCACMAAGTATAGCCATTTCTCTGCCCTGCCTCACCCTTACACCGCAGCAACGGTGGCTGACATCTTCATATGGGACGTCGCAAAATTGCATGGGACACCAAGATCCATTGTCTCAGACCGTGACCCTGCCTTCCTGAGTTCATTCTGGAAGGAATACTTCCGATTGCAAGGAACCCAACTGCACCCATCCACAAGTTACCACCCCCAGATGGATGGACAGACTGAAGTTCTTAATCGGTGCTTAGAAGCCTACCTGAGGTGCTTCATAGGGGAGAAGCCCAAATAGTGGGCTCACTGGCTTCCGTGGGCAAAATATTAGTACAACACAACTTATCAGTCAATAGCAGGAATGACACCCTTCAAGGCTCTATATGGCAAAGAACCTCTTCCCATATTACCTTATGAATTTGGGTCGGCTAAGGTGACAGAAGTAGAGACTCGCCTACTGGCAAGAGATGAGATCCTTAGACTGCTCAAGGCCAATTTGACTAAAGCCCAGCAAAAGATGAAGGCCTATTATGACTCTCACCACCGCCCACTAGAGTTTCAGGTAGGTAATTTTGTCTACCTTAAGCTCCAACCTTACCGCCAGGTCTCAATGATGAGACGGGCTTGGCACAAGCTAGCTCCCAGATATTATGGGCCCTATAAGGTGCTGGAGAGAGTGGGCCTTGTTGCTTACAGATTGGACCTCCCTACTACCTCGAAGCTACACTCGGTGTTTCACATCTCACTTCTCAAGAAAGCTGTGGGGAATCATACCCCTATCTCACCCAACTTACCCCAATTTACAGATGAAGGGGACATTTATACGGAGCCTATCAAGATTGTGGATTTTCGATGGGTTCGACGAGGAGGGCAGGTTGTGCCAGAAGCCAAGGTTGAATGGGCCGGACTGCCTCCAGAAGAGGCCACATGGGAACCTTATCTAAGGCTGAATGAGAGGTTTCCCAACCTAGACCTTGAGGGCAAGGTCAGTGCTAAAGGGGGAGGAGCTGTTGAGACCCAAACACTCCCTCCAGAACCCACTAGGGGAGTGGAGTAGGCCACCACCTATCAGCCATTCACAAGAAGACAGAGGAGACAGGCGACAGAGCCCCAAAATTAGTTACACTCAGAGTTGGTTACTCTGCCGCCTAAAGATATTCCACCCATGTTATCTGCCAGAGTTAGTTATCCAGAAATCAGAGGATATTCCCTCTGATATTACACCTATAGGCCAGCTATACAAGGCCATCATCATATAATGAAAGCAATGAATGATTCTCCCTTAATTTTCTTCTCCCTGAGTCCAGTTTATTCCTTCCCTCCGTTCTCTCTTTTCTCTCCATCTTCTGTTTCAGGAGGTCAAGCCTCCCTCAAAGAGGTTTCCGAGGTGAGCGGAAACTCACCAGTGCCATAACATTGATACATCCATATTCTCACTTTTCAGCCCATAATTCACATCATAGGACATGGTTAATAGAAACACTTTGTTTGTTGCCATTTTTACTCTAATAATGATTTGGCCGTTTTTGCTATTAGTTATTACACATTCTCCATTGCCAAAGTGCACATTATAACATTTTTGTAAGTTGTCCAAAACTAAGCAAATTTTGAGTCAAATTAGGAATGTATAGAACATTATAAATGAGTTTAGAATTACTTTGCTTAGTTTGGGCTGAAACAACACCCTTTCCTTTAACACTTTGGAGTTTTCCATCTTCAAGCTTCACTTGAGAATTAACATGTTCATTCAATTCAAGAAAACATTCTTTATTTCCTGTCATGTGATTATTACAACCACTATTCAAATACCAAATTTCTTTTGACTCTTGTTGGGTATTCATACACGAGTAAAATAGATGATTTCTAAATCATCGTTTTTAGTATAGTGGGCTTGTTCTTTTTACTTAAATCTGCAATCTTTTGGGGCATGTATATGATTTTTACATCTAAAATAGAAATCTTGGGGCAAATAGTTGTCCATCTTGCAAATAAAATAACCAGTATTTTGCATTTCACATCTTCCTCTTTCATATGATCCACCTCTTCCATTATTTTGGTATATATCCTTCCTATAGCTTGATATGGTCATTCTTTTTCACCTTCATTCTTTTTCTTTCCTACAATGGTGAGCTTGGACTTAAAACTTGCTCTAATGAAGAAGTTGAAAAATTTTCCATTCTCCTCATGAATTTCAAATGAACTCATTAACTCATGCATGGATAGTTTAGTCAAATCTTTAGAATCTTCAATGGCAATCACCACATGATGAAATTTAATCAGTAAACTCCTCAAAACCTTTTTTACAATTTTTTCATCTGAAATAACATCTCCATACATTCTGGTTTGATTTACAATACCAGAAACTCTAGAAAAAAAAAACTCCTGAACCGATTCACTTTCTTTCATCATAATATTATCAAAATCTCTCCAAAAAGTTTGAAGTTTTATTGATATTACCTTTTTTGTGCCCTAAAATTCCTTCCTGAGGATATCCCATGCTTCATTTGAGCTTTTGGCAACCATGATTCTTGAAAATATTGTTTTACTTATTCCTTGCTAAATATGGTATAGAGCCCTAGCGTCATCTTTTCTATTTTCTTTGTACTCCTTGTCTTTAATCCATATTGTAAGTTGCTCACGATTATCTAATTCTTTGTATCCTTCTTCTACTAACTCCCAAATCTCTTTGGAGATTAACAATGTTTTCATTTGTGTGCTCTAAAAATCGTAGTTTTCTCCATAAAAAAATAGGACGTGGTAATTTTTGAAAATGATATAAAACAGAGCTGTTGGAAGTTGATGCCATGAAGGATTTTAGTTTTAGATTTGAATGGTTGAATGAATCTTTTACTCTGATACCAAATGTTTGTTAGAGCAATGAAAGTATGGTGGTAAAAATCAAAGGAAAGACAAAAAACGGTAAAGGAAAAGTTGGAGAAATCATTGATCTAAAATACTCAACCAGACATTAGCCACATATATATACTACTGCACCATACCCATGGAAGAACCATTATTCATTGAAATTGCACATAATTCAGACTTGAGTACTATGGACATGGTACCATCGCCCTCTATGATATTATCACTTAAAGGGCCGTATATATACCATCACAAAACCACCATGTGGTGAACAAAAAGATTTCAGACGTGTGAATAAGGGTTTAATGGAATATTAACAAAGGGTGGAGAAAGAGAATAGATTGCTCACTTTTCAATGCTACCATGACCCTGGTTTCATTTTATAGGGCAGAGAGAGTCAGAGAGAGGAGCAATCACAGTTGTAGATAGAAATACAATCAGTTCGGTGAATCTAACAAGCATACATTCAATATTTGTATTCATCTAAAATAATAAGTACAATTAGATAAATATTCCAAATGACACTAATTGTAACTTCTTTAATTTGTAGGAAATAGAGAAGTTTGTGTCCCCGCATTGTAAAGAAGAAACAAATAATGAAGGAAAAACACCCAGAGCTGCATTCGGCGAGGAGCACATGGATTTGGTTGAAAAGGGAGAGAAATGGATGAAGGACACAGCAACATCATGTATGATTGTGGCCACACTCATTGCGACAGTGGTTTTTGCAGCTGCTTTTACCGTGCCAGGAGGCAATATTGATGGTAAAGGGACTCCCATCTTCTTAGAGGAAACCTCTTTCATGATTTTCTTAATATCAGATACAATAGCACTCTTCTCCTCCATTACTTCAGTGCTAATGTTCTTGGCAATCTTAACTGCACGATATGCAGTAGACGATTTCTTGGAATCGTTGCCCAAGAAATTGATTATTGGACTCGCTACCCTTTTCATCTCAATTGCTGGTATGGTCATAGCATTCAGCTCAGCACTTTTCATCATTCTCGGAGATCAAAAGAAACGGCTTATCACTCCAATTATTTTATTTGCTTGTCTTCCAGTAACATCATTTGGGCTGTTGGAATTTCCACTCTTCATTGAAATAATTTTTTCTACCTATGGGCAGGGAATTTTCCACCGGAAATGTGATCATTTAATCTTCAGGTCCTAGCTAGCTCCATGGACATACAACACATCTTACCATTTCTTTCATTTTCATGTCTACCTTCGTCCACCTTTGGACATAGGATTTGAAAAACAATAGCAGAATAGTAACAAAGATAAAAAGCAAATAAGACTCTGCAAATAGAAGATCAATTGGAAGCAAATGGATCTTCAAAAAGAAATTAAAAGTAGATGGTTCTATAGAAAAAGTTTTGCCCAATTCGGATTTTATTATCAGCTTTGTGAAGTCCAAGGTTGTGTTCAAGTGTATGTTGCTGGATTCATCAAGAAAAGTGGAGTTATTCTTTATTTGCAGAATCTTATTTGCTTTTTATCTTTGTTACTATTCTGCTATTGTTTTTCAGGATTTCTATTTCATATGGAATTTCTGTAACGTCAAGTATGGTCCATGCAAAATTTCTTCTCCCCAGCTAAACATGACCAGTGGTGTGGAGAGTAATTACAGTTCATGAACTGCATGTTTGCAAAACAATCCATTTGCAGTTCAATTGGCATTCCTCTTCTGGTGTATATCTTGGCCTGCTTCCTTATGGGTGTTGAATTCTTTTACATTTCTATTTTTTGATAGAGAATGAATGTTGGAATTCATGGAGCAAGTCTTCTGGTGTTCAGATTTATCTTGGTTATGTTGGAATTCATGGTTAATTGGGGCTAAAAGAAGCCATTGGGACCCGGGGCTTTTAAGAGCCAATGCTAAAAGTAGTTGTTCGAATCTCTTCAGAGGATAACATCTCTAAAAAAACCCTTCGGGTGGTATCTGATACTCCTCTAATGGTATTCAATCCAAAATCACACATCTCACTGGTTCCCCGAACTAAAAGGGTCTTCAAGAAAACTTGGGATTTCATTGTTTATCACCTGTTCACCCATTCTCCATCAACCTTCTAGCGCTTATAAATTTGTTTGACTGTCTTCTATTGATGGTAGATTGGTGAAAGAACCGAGTATTTCGATCTCCTTCTATCAGCCATATATAGAATTTTGGAATTTCTACTTCCAATTAAGTTCTTCTTGAGCCAGCTCTAGGGATGCAAATAGATCAGGTCGGATTTGATTAAGGGTATCCAATCCAATAAAAAATTTAACCGATTCGAATTGAATTTTAATAAAAAAATTTGATGATATAACATAAATAATATCTTATATTATTTAATAATATAATAATATATTATAATATATAATATAGGATATATAGAATATACGTATTATATATAAATAGTATATAACATATAATATTTCATAACTAATGGAACAAATCGAGGTATATTTCAACTTCGATCCATTATCTAAATGGATAGAATTTAGAATCGGATATGATCCAATTTATTTGCAGCCCTATGTTTAGAGCCACTTGAAGACTCCCCACTTTGTTCATGTTCTCTTGGGAAGGTTTAACTTCCTGGCAAGGTTCTAAAAACCGACCCAAAGACAGAACTATTTTGGCTACCGGTTTTTGGGTCAGTGGTTCAACCGTTTGGGTTGAATAGTTCAAACGGTTTGATACATTTAACCCTTAGATTGGAATATTAGGGTATATATATCATTAGTCTTACTGAGAAAGGAGAGGGAGTTGGTTGTCAACTAAGAAAGAAAAGGAAATCAAAGGAAAGGAAAGAAAGAAAGAAAAGAAAAGGAAGGAAGGAAGGAAGGAAGGAATGAAGGAAGAAGAGGTAATGCTCACCGGCGATGACAAGGAGGCAACGATGGCAATGGCGGCAATAAGAACGACGACAGATCTGATCTCTCCCTCTCTCTAACCTCCCCACATCTATCGATCTTTTCTTCTTTAATCTTCCCAACAAAAAGAAATCATTAAACCATGAACCGCTTCCCGGTTCGAAGAGTTCAACCATCCAGGTTAGTGATTTTCTAACCAAATCAATATTTTTTCAAAAAAAGAAAAAAAAGCATTTCAGACTAAAACTAGACCTGGAGTTATGATCGGTTCCCAGGTCAAATGTCTGACCATCCGGTCCAATTTGGTTTTCAGAACAATTTTTCTCAAATTTCCTTAAGGCTGTGTTTGGTTGCAGTGCAATTTTATTTATACTAGTACGAATGCATAGGAGTGCAATTATAAAAATGTGAATTCTTCTTTAATTTTGTTTTAGATTTTACTTTATTCTGCTTCATTTCTAAATTCACCTCATTTGTACTGTAATCAAACAAAATAAGTTAAAATTTAAAACAAAAATGTTAGAATTTACAGTCAAATCATTTGCACTGCCATTGTTTTGCATCAGTGCAAATTTATTTATTTTGCAACCAAACACAGCCTAAGTTGCATTTTCAAATCATTAATTTTGCTCTTAATATCACCAAAGCAAGCTCGATTCCAAATATTAAGATGTTGCTTGCAGTTTTTCACCTTTTGGGTAGTTCTAGTCACTAGTTCCCTCTCATCATTCAAGATTTCAAGCTATGTCTCTAAAATAACCTATCTACACTGAGGGTGATCTACCAGCATGGTCTCAAATAGGAATGGCTTCCTTCCCTACCATTATGGGGGATAGCAGTGAAGGATAATTGCGCAATGGTCAGAACCAAGCCTAACTTTGGGAAAGACACAGGCAAGGTTATCGGGGCCTTCCTGATACGCCCCTATAGGGGGTGTTTCGGGTCAGATTGGAAAAAATAAAAAATAAATAAAAAAAAGCACCGATACAAGTCAATAAGCCCTCGATATTTTGAACCTTGGACACAAGCATCAGGGTATAAATCTCTCCATTGAACATTATATAAGCACCAATGAAGGCATTCTTGGACATTACAGAGGTTGAGAGAAATTACTCCAACAAATTAAGTCGAGGTCCCAAGGGAGATTACACAGGTGAAAGAAATACATCCATTAACAACCAAATGCTTCTCACCAAATACATCCATTAACAACCAAATGTGCCTCACCAGCAATCCAGTCTGCCGCTTGATTCACTTCTCTATAAACGTATCTATATTCCAATCCATGTGTAAGCTGCTCTCTGATCGGTATATTCCAATCCATGTGTAAGCTGCTCTCTGATCGGTAAGCAGTCCTTCACTATATTTCTTAGCATCCGAAGGCTTAACTTGACCTCTAAGACAAGAAATGACTAATTCCGAATCTCCTTCCATAATAATCTCTTGCTCTACAAAATTTGTAGTCAGATTACGAGCGTCCTGTGCAGCCTAAACCTCCACGGCATTGATGGTAGAGATGCCAAGATTGTACCCAAGTCTACAACTCTACCAAGGTGATTCCTAGCAACAGCCGCAACTGCACACCTCCCATTACTCAAACAAGATGCATCAAAGTTAATTTTGATCGTATCAGGATCTCAGGATCTGGTGGAAGCCAAGAAACACTCTTTGCTCTAATAGTGCTGAAAACCTGCAAAATAGAAAAATACTCATCCCAATATTTTGTAGCCTTCTCAACTACGACTTGAGGGGGGCAGAGGTATTAGAAAATACTCTTATGTCTGTTCTTCCAAATCTCCCATAGAACGTGAACACTTTTTCTCCTTTAAATTGTTATTATTTTTTAGATCTGCCTCATACAACTTTGACCACCATGACATCAGGTCAGGGTCTGCCCCAATATATCAACCTCTGGCTAACCACATCCCACAACTGTTTGGCTTCTCCACACCCCCTAAATATATGGGTCATATATTCCTCCTCCCCACAGAAGTAACACCTACCATCAATGTTAAGGCCTCTTAACCTTAACAAACTCATCGTGGGGAGCCTGTTATTTAGCACTAAATAAAGAAAAATCTTAAGCTTTGATTGGCATCTTAGGTTCCAAACGAGAGCTCTCCGGTTGATATTGCGTCCTGTATTGAGATCCAAACTACACCTTAGTTTATAGTCAGGTTTCATGGAAAACTCACCACTTGAATTTAGACTCCAAATTAACCTGTCTTTCACATCACTCAATGGAATAAATATATATATTTTTTCTTTGTCGATACAATCACTAACCCAAAGATTATCTGCCTCATTCTGGGGAATTTGTCTGAAGGAATCTCTTCTGGGCTTTGTCTATGTCATTCATGACATAGACATCGAATGACACTAACCCAAAGATTTTAAAAGCTTTCTCTATAAAATCCCACTCAAGTTTATCATAGGTTTTTTCCATGTCAATTTTGTAAGCCAAGATGCCTTTTTCCCCTTAAGAAGATTAGAAAACCCCCTATGAACTTTGGAAAGGGTTTACACCTAACCTAAAATACTTGAAAGTATGGAGGTGTTTGGTTTAAAAAAAAGCTAGCTGATACGAAAAGAGGAAACCACGGCCTAAGACCGCAAATTGTGCATTCATAAGTTATGCAGAAAATATTGTAGCCTACCAAGTTTAAGCCCCAAGTATGAAAACAATACCAATATAGCGTCAAGAGATGCTAAATTTTTTAAGTTTATTTACTCTACAAAATAAGACTAACAAAATCTCAGATTATCAACCTTCTTTTGCATTACCATCACCATCAGAAAAGAGTGAAACTTGGAGTTATGGAGAAATAAAAGGGCTAGAAAAGAAATAAACTTTGGTGATGATTTCTACACGTAGCTGTGGATAATGATCTTGCAACTTGTAGTGAATAAGTGAAGCTATGTTTTATCCTAATGCTGTCCTTTGGAAAGAGAATAAATAGTAATCTAGAATCCATTATGGCCAACCATACTGACTAAACTAGTAGCCAAGGGGTATAAAAAGAGATAAAGGGTAAATAATTTTGATACCTATGTCCCAATAACCAATATTACTACCATTAGAGCTCTTATAGCTTTAGCTTCAATTTGCAAAATTGTAATATATCAAATGGATGTTAAAACTGCTTTCTTCAATAGTGATATTAAGGAAAAATATATATATAACAACCTATGGGTTTTATAATGTTAAAAAAAAAAAAGTCTATAAATTAATAAAGAACCTTTTTCCTTGAAGCTCTGATTGGCCTCCGGGACCATATGGAGGAGTTGAAGTCTGAACTCTAAGCAAAAGGTGCAAGTTTGAATCAGAAGATGTAGGAAATAAACATTAGACTATCAAATAATGTTATTTGCAAGCATAAGTCGGACTAGTTGTGACATGAAAAATAAGGGCAAAAGTTAAACAAAAGACTGGGAAATAATGTTGTAATTCTAAGTTTATTAACAAATAAATAGCATGCATAGTTTAGTCATTTGATTTGGAAAGAACCGTTTAACCAACCGACTAAATAGAAAAATTGATAAAATATTTCAAATCCCCTTCTTATTATCTCTGATTAAATGACATTAGAAAATAGAATGCACCCCATCTGCCTATCGCCTCAAGCTCTGTAAGATATACTCAGCATAAAGGTCCCTGCACCCCACCAAACAAAAGACCATGTTAGAGGAGAAAAATGTGAAAATCAGAAGGTGACACAAATCTTGAATGTTCATCCCCCAGAAGTAGTTTGAAATTTTTGAATAGAGAATGATTTATATAGTCTTTCTATCGTGGTTACAATGAGTACTTAATATGAAAATATAGGAGAAAAATTAGGATATACATGAAAAAATAAAGAGACAGAGAGAAGAATGAGGATAAGTTACAACAATTATGATACAGTCCAACCAGAGCATGTTGTTTGGTAGTCAACTACTACAAGGGTTATTTCAAAAAAAAAAAAAAAAACTCATACATGGGCTTGAGCCCATGAATGTGAATATGGGCCACCATACACTAATATTCCCCCTCAAGTTGGAGATATATTGTGTGAATCAACTTGCTAACAGGATTCTGAAAGCCATCTCGTCCTAATGTTTTGGTGAAAATATCAGCAACCTGAATATCATAGGGGATATGCATAGACTTGATGAGGCCCAATTGAATCTTCTCTTATGAAGTGGAAATCAATATCAAAGTGCTTTCTTCTTTCATGGAACACCAGATTGCCAATAAATGGATAAAGCTGCTTTATTGTCACAAAGGTAGCCTTAATTTGGGTGGTCTATGAACAGAGGAATTCCAGAATCTTTAAAGATTTACTAATTGAATGAAAGAATATCTATGAAGGTAGGATCATTGGGTAAAGATTTTTGGAAGCTTTTAATCCTTTTTCTACTAAGATACCATTCAAAACTGGCAGATTTTCTGAATGTTTATCAGCTTACGGTCCCCCCAGCCATCAACCTCATCAAGTTATATTTCAATTGCTGTAGTTTGGGTAACCCATGGAACTCTGGAATAAGTAGTGTATTAAGAGCAGTGGCAGAGCCAGGAATTTTCTTTGGAGGGGCCAAGTTAAACAAGAAAATGAGATAGGAAGGAGAAGTAAATGGCCTGAGAAGGTTTGGGTTTATTATAGATTTTTTAAAGAAAAAAATATATTTTTTTTAATTTTACTATATATATATATTTTCTTTTTTTTTTGGGGGGGGGGAGGGGCAAGGCAATAACCCACTCATGTTTTTAAGGGGGGGGAGGGTAATCTATTAGCATTATTCCAAGTCGTTGTTGGATACGGTGATTCCATTAGGGCAGAATTGATGGTTGTGCTGCAGAAGCTGCTTGATACTACAAAAATCTAGCGGGTGAAAGGGGATTCCAGAGTAGTTGTGTGCTAGTTTAAGAAAAATAGAATGGGTCCTTCACGAAATAAGGGAAGTGAAAAAGACTGGCTGGTGAAGTCGGGGTAACTTATAACTGGATACAGAGATCAGCCAACAAAATGTATGGCAGACATGCTGGCAAAACAAGGAAAGAACAGGAACCAATTCTATTGGGGACTACTTCCCAAGGGGAAAGTGGTAGCAGTTGCTACACCATTCTTGAGTACGTAATTAATCCAAATAGATGTTATACATGGTGACATAGTGAATGGATGGACAAAGTGGTCATTCTATAAGGAAGAAATGGAGTAGGTCCTGTAGGGAAGTTCACTACTTTAACCGATTAAAAGACTTTCTTTTTTTCTATGCACAAAAATGCCACCACCCAGTGTTAGTCCCAGCTATCTGGGATCTTGGGAGGGTGGTCTGGATATTTGTACAAAATTAGTTTGGCATTGCCTTCAAATGTGAGTCAACTTTGCAAGCCACCAGTAAAAGTGAATTTTGAATTAGTCAAGTTTATATCTGAATTTCCTTATTATTTCTATAGTCCAACCACAATGCATTTACTAATATTTTCTGCACTTTCAATCCATCACATTAAAGACATCCATGGTCTACTTACTTTTCATTTGTTCACATTTCACAAGGTGTACTTTCATGTTTCACAAGATATATATACCATCAAGACTTTAACAACGTTAAATATGCCAACTGTGATATATCGTTTTATCACTGGTTCACATTTTTTGCTGCATGTTGCAGTTGATGCACCATAGATTATTCCTTATTTCTAATATAAATTGTACTTAAATCTTTTTCTCTAAAAAAAAAGAACACTATTTGAAATTCCATGGCTAGCTGCAAGAAACAACTTTAGTTATTTGAGGAATTGAAACAAACTTACATTGAGTACTGGATGGCTTCATAAGCAGTTTCTGAAGGCAAAAAATCATTAACCGCAACCTCTTTGTTCTCATTCTTCTTGTCTTAGTTATTACTTATCAAGAAAACACTCAAATTTACTTCACCATATACTTAAACCTCAAATGCCTAGCTCAAAAGAAAATTAACTGAATAAGTGCAAGAAAATAAAATAAGAAAAAGGATACAGTCTTCAAAGAAACGGCGGATCTCAGCCAGGCGATGAGGTGGGAGTTGTTCGATGTCGGTATAGTGTCGATACTCTGGGTCATCAGCACACACCGCAATGATCTTGTGATCTTTTTCTCCCTGTTTTTCAGACACATAATCAACCATCAAAGGACTCAACTTGGATAACAATGGCTGGGGTTGACTTTGCTACAGAACATCAACCATACCTGATCAATCATGGGCATGAGACCTATGGCCCTGGCACGGAGAAATGAACCAGGAATAACTGGTTCCTGAGTTCAGAACAAGTCATTAGATGCACTTCATTAACGATTATAATAAGCATGATAAGAAAATATTATACTGCAAAAAGATGCTGAAACTTAGTGTAACTGGGATACGAAAATGGTTTCCAAAACCAATAGCATTTCATTAAGGAAGAATGGAAGTAATTTTCTAAAATTCTGAGGAATGAAATAAAATTAATTTATTATATGACTCTGCAGTGCATATATTTGACATTTTAATTCAATTTAACAACCCTAAATTTTGTTTGTTCAACTCAAATGAAAACAATTTTTTGTAAAAATTGAAAACCTTGGCCTAAAGATACCTCAAGAAATGAGAGAAAAGGGTCTCATACGGATCTTGCAAATATTTAGTCATATGCTATAGAAACAAATTTGTCTATCTAAAAATAATTGCATGAATAAGTTCAAGTTACCTGCATAAGGACCAATACATCCATTGGGTCATTGTCTTCGCATAATGTGCGGGGAATGAAACCATAGTTGTGAGGATAGACAACTGAGGAATATAGGACACGATCAACCTAGGCATCCATTTCAATGGTAGGAATAATCACAAAGAATAACAAGGGTGTAAGATCCATGGAAAAAAATGCAATGAAATCCCAGATATTATGCATCTGAGTACTTTCTAATATATAAGAAAAAAAAAGAATATTCTCCAAATTAATGAAGATTTGGTACTTGCTTGTAAAATCATACAAAATATGCCAAATTACAAGAACAGGGAGAGCATACCTTTATCAGTCCTGTTTTTTTGTCAAGCTCATATTTGACCTTACTTCCTTTTGCTATCTCAACAACCTGTGCCAGATGCATAAGTTTATGAGACGGTCAATATCACTTTTAAGAGGTAGAATAAAATTAATACTTCCTTGGACAAAATGTGATAGAACAAGGGAACACAAATTAAGAATTAAAGAAAAAGGAGTGTCACATGGACTAAGAACAAGGGAACACAAATTAATACTTCCTTGCAGCAAGAAATGCACAATTCCCATGTATCACATGGACTAAGAATTAAAGAAAAAGGAGTGTCTTGGGTCTGAGGTCAACAACCAAAAAACCAGTCAGGCCCCATAACTCTTAACCCAATTTTTTTTAATCAGCAACACAAATTAAGATTTCATTCACAAAATAATTAAAAGAGTACAACAAGAGGTTGTGGTTACAATCAAAGACATACAATTATAGCCTCAGCTAACCACCCCCCCCCCCCTACAATTTACATCAAAGCCCAAAACATTTGCTGTCTAATAACTCCCTACTTTGCCAAGCCATCTACCAAGCTATTAGCTGGCCTTTGTACCCATAGTATTCCAATCTACAAATCCTTTGGCACCATTTAAATCATCTAATTCCATTTCTGAAACACCATGCAGTCTTTGACTCAAATAGCTAACCACCTTGGAGTCACCTTCAATAATCAATCCTTCAGCTCCCATTTCCTTGGCTTTCTATACACCAAAAGTTGCTGTCATTATCTCAAACCTTACTGATCTCCTTCTCCTATGGGACCTGAGTACTTTTTTTTTATCAGTGAAAATGATTTTATTAAAAAAGAGAATATTAGTACAGAGAATGAGTAGCCTCGGCTACCCCAATGTCCAAAGACATTCCACCTAAAATTTGCTTTGTAGACTTACAACAGAGCCCAAAAACAATGTTCCCTGTTAGCCCCTTGCTTTGCTAGCTGATCCGCAAACCCATTTGCTGCTCTTGGAGTCCACTGAAATAAAACCTGCATATCCTTTGTGGAGTGATTAATTTTCTTAATCTCATTTCTGAATACCCATGGAGCCTTTCCATCCTGCTTCAGCCAGCTTATCATCACTTTAGAGTCGCCTTCTACAACCAACTTCCTTACACCTATTTCCGAGGCCTTTTGTATACCGAAAACCAGAGCTTTTAGTTCAGCTGTAATGGAGTCTCCCCACCCAATAGGGCCGGAAAACAGCCCCACTACATTCCCCCTGTCATCTCTAATGACCCCACCAATACCATCCATGCCCGGGTTGCCAAAACTGCTCCCATCAAAGTTTAATTTGAGGAGTCCCGCTTCAGGAGGATTCCAGCTTCTTACTACCTTCTTTTTAGCAGATGACGAGGAAGCTACAGTCCTCCAGTTCCTGATTATATCATTCACAGTAAAGTCTGAGAATGACTCCATTGATTTTACCCATGAAGTCACTTTTAACATAATCCCCTCTATCAGTAATTCCTTACACCTTTTCTTCCCTTAAAAAATCCTCAGATTTCTTTCCTCCCATAACATCCAAAGTACTGCTGCCCGTGTGCATCTCCATAAGGTTTTCCCCCTTCTCTTTGGCCACCTGAAAGTGGAGGCTTCAAACAATCTCCCCAGGCTCACCGGGGTATTCCACCTGCAACCAAAGAGAGAAAAGAACCACTTCCATATGCTGCTAGCTACAGGACAGGAAACAAAAATATGAAGAGCAGTTTCGCCATTAGATTCACACAAACAACACCAATTAGGTGAAAGGCACCAGCCAGGCCTCCTCATCTGCATCAGATCACAGGTGTTAATTGCACCATGGTAAACTTCCCAACAAAAGGCACCCACTTTAGGGGGAATAGGGCGACACCAGACTTCACGGAATGGAAAATGGACCCCAGGTTGAAAAGAAGTCAAAGCTTTGAAGAAGGACGCACAACTGAACTCACCAAGGGGGTTAGGAATCCAAATTCTAGTGTCTTGCTTGGTAGGATCTATACAAATCCCATCAAGCAACTGAATAATAGCAGACACCAAATCCAACTCCAAGTCACACACATTTCTGCGGAGACCCAGGTTCCAAGCATACCCAGATTGCGAGGGAGAGGGGGACAGGAAATCAGCAACCGGTTTTCCTTTAAAGCGGGGTAGAACAAAAACTGAAGGGAATAAAGTATTTAAAGAAGTGTCACCCACCCAAACATCTTCCCAGAATTTGACTTTGTTACCTGAGTTGAGATCAAACCTGACATGATTGAGGAACAACGGGAGGAGTTTGTGAATCACTTTCCACGGTGAAGCATTGGAAACCCTGTAAGACACTCCTGCATCCCAACCATTTTCAGAGAGCCCATGAATACTAGTCACAATTTTGTGCCATAGCCTATCTGTTTCTTGTGGAAACCTCCATAACCACTTTCCTAGTAGAGCCTCGTTCTTTTCCTTCAACCTTCCTAACCCCAATCCTCCAAATTCTTTCCTCCTACTTACAAGATTCCATCTTACTAAATGATCTTTCTTCTTCTCACACGGTTCCCACAAGAAATCCCTCATTATTCTCTCTAATTTCTTTCTCACAGCTTGAGGCAAACTAAACACCGAGAGGTAGTAAACTAGAAGGTTTGCTAGGGTAGACTTGATAAGAGTAATCCTTCCCCCAAGAGAGATATAATTCCTCTTCCACACCGCAAGTTTCTTTTCAAACCTCTCCACAACTAGATTCCAAAAATCTATGCTTCTACGATTTGCACCAAGGGGGAGCCCTAAATACTTGAGTGGCCACTCACTGCTTAAGCATCCTAGTTCCTCGGCCCAAACATTAATCTCTTCTGGTGCTAGGACTGAGTACATTGCTAGGACACTTCTGCTATCATCCCTTGTTGCCCCTCCAATACTAGAAGGCTCTAGGTTACATATATTGCTTCCATCAAATTCAGCTTCCCACCACCCTTTGCCTTGAGGTAATCATTCCTTGCAACTTGTCTTTCTAGAGGAGGAAGATGCAACTGCCCCCTACTTTCTAAGTATATCATCAAGTATGAAATAAAAAGACAAATCCAAGGTCCACACCCAATGTGAAACTCTTAGAGTAATAGTTTCAATTAAGGCCTCCTTACTCCTTTCTATCTCTTCAAATATCCTTGCATTTCTCTCCTACAACGTCCATAGTCCATACTACTAGAGCTCTTGTGTATTTCCACATTATTCTACCTCTTTTCTTTGGGCATCAAAACACTAAAGCATCAAACAGCATATCCAAACTGACAGGGGTATCCTACCTGCAACCAAAAAATGCCAGAAACCAAGTCCAAATACAACAAGCCAATGGACAGAACACTAATAGGTGATATATGCAGTCTAACCATTCTAAGGGTGGGCATTGGCACAACAGTTGGATTGCTCCATTGTGACCTGGCTGACCAGGATTCAAATCTTGGAAAGAGCCTCTCTATATATGCAGGGGTAAGGTTGCATACATTTGTCCCTCCCTAGACCCTACATTGGCGGGAGCCTTAGTACACTGGGGCAGTCTAACCATACAATTTACACATGATACACCAATTTGTAGATAAAGACCAGCTGGATCTCTCCTTTATCAATAAGTCACAAGTGTTAATGCTACCATGGAAGATTTCCAACAGAAAGCACTAACTCTATCCCACATTTGAGGAATTGAAACCTGCTATTGGATGGATCTGTACTAAAACAGGGGCTATGCCAAAAAAAAACAGCAATAGCAAGGTAAGTTTAACTACCTAGCTTGGGATTAACTTCAGAGCCACTTTCTAACCTTAGTAGAAACTTTTTGTCATTATATAATAAAATGTAGTTGAATGGTTTCTTATCAGTTAAAAACAATTTTTTTAATGAATAGGAAAGTACAATGTGTAAATACATTGTGTGCATAGTATTATATTTCCACTTTCCAGAGTCATTATACAAGGCACCATCCCATTGTTGCTTCCCCATACTCCAGTTTGAGTTTCAAACTTGCATGCGACATTTATCAAAAACAGTTTGCCCACTAAATCAAAGTCTGCCTACTAACTCCTCAGTAGACTAGAAAACTCGGTAAGGGAGCTTGTAGGCCTGAGAATCAGTCATATAGCTACCAATAATCCAACCAAGTGCCTTGCTTCCCTCACAGAATGTCTTACATGCCATGGACATTTCATTTCTCCTTGCAGCCAACCATGGTACCAGATCTAGCCAACCTAGAAATTTGTAGCAATGCTTGAAATTCTACTTTTATGGAATTCCCCATGCCTACCAGTCCTGGAGTAAGCTACCAAGATGCCATCCCTGTAATACTGGGTAGGTGCCATTTGATGGTGGTCTTGATGCTCAAAACTAAAGGGATGGGAGATCCATCATATGGATGGCCGAACCCTGCAGGAAGATTGGGTGAAATTTCAAAATTTTCTTTACTCCCATCCAAGAATCCTATTCCCAATTTAGGAAACTGCATTTTCAAGGTTCGTTCCTGTAACCAAACTGGACCAAATCTGAAACCAAGATTAGGGAGGGATATACCTGATACAGAATCCACGCAAAAAAGCTCCTCCCAATGCAGGTGTTCACGCCCAAAGAGTGTACCAAATCCTCCCTCCACTGAAAATGACATAGCTTAGGATGAGGCAAGATCAGTATGTAGTTCTTCACCAAGAACTTGTGATTCTTCAGCAAGAATCGAATGGGGTAGTGAGCACAGCTTACAAGAAACAATATCAAGATCAAATCTTGATCAGTTCCAAGAATTGGAGATCGAATAGGGTAGGGCGGCAAGAGCAGGAAGAAAAAGAACTGAAGGCAAGATCAGTCTAACTGAGTTGTCTTCTTCTTTTGTTGTGTCTTTTTTAGGTCCACCCTGCTCTCTATTTATAACCTTAAAGAGACAACCTCCTAATCTGATTAGGAGTCTTCTGATCCAAATCTTTATTTGGATCTGAACTCTTTAAATGATAAGGATAATCCCTTATCTTATCTGCAGTTAAAGATCAGCTTATTCCTAATCAAATTAGGAGTTTCCTGATCCAAATCTTTATTTGGATCTGGACACTTTAAGTGGATAAGATTTATCCTCTTATCCTTATCTGTTGATCCAAACCCAGACCCGCCCCTATTTAATTAACCCAATTAACCTAGTTCAAAATGGGCTTTAGGCCCATTAAGCTTTCGGGCTCACTTCCCTTTAATGCTGGCTAGCTTGGCTCTCTTTGTATGGTGTGGGACCCTAACATTGATCTACACATCAACCACACGGGTTCAGCCTAGCCTCTGTTACAAAGCCTGACCAAATTCACTATTGAATACAGTGAACCCCTGAGTCCATCACCATGGGCTCTTAATGGGCCCAACATTTACACTAAATGGTCCTTGGGTCCAGCCATCTTATGAAGGCCCAAGGACTGTGGGCAAATGCAAGATTAGCTCATCAGGTATAACCCTCAATGGTCTTACACTCAACCTCTCAGCCCTTAATGATCAAACACTGTCCGACAAGAGAGAACCTCTCTCTCGGCTGCAAAGTACAGTGCTGCACTCTCTATTCACATGGATCTCGAGAATTATAACATTTTGCAAACATTTTGAAACCATAATATATAAGTATATCTCTATATAAATATATTTTGCAAAACCAAATTTCAAACACATTTAAAATCCACTACCGGAAGTTTAGGTTTCCATCAGAGAGAGTGCATTTTCCCGACCATTCACTTTGTTCGACAAAGGGGTTGATCTTGTCACTATGATCATCCCACTCAGATGAATTCTTGGACTGTCCCAACATACCCAGGTTTTGACCCCCTTTAAGGATCTTACTGATTGGCACATCAAAGACAGCCCAATCTGACACCTAGTGTAGTATCATAATCGAGTCTAAGGGTCAGGTGTAACATTCTAATTTTGCCCATCTATCTCCAAGGTCTAGGGCAATACTAGAATTTTGGTCCAGTTCAGGGTTTCAAGAAAACCCACATTGCATGCACCTCAGGTCTCACCCTAGCAGCTAAGACAAGCCACCCCAACCAACTTGTTGGCACATCAGTGTTAGCTTTGGTAGGATAAATCTCCCCAGATCCATCCAATGGCTGTGAAGATTCTAAACTAGCACGAGTCTCATATGTGTCCAGTTTAAGGGTATTACACAGAAATACACCACAATAACATGAATCAAATATGTAGTTTATTCATTTACAATAAATGTCATAATGTACATCATGCTGATTGGAGCTAAGGGCATACATTGTCTAACAAAAACAAGGAACAGGCAGCAACTTATGGGGACCCCAGACCTATCTTTGAACCATGTATGGACACCCAAACCAAAGATTCAACCAAAATAAAATTGATATTTTCTTATTATCGCAACAAATTGGGATTGCTAAAAGTCATTAATCGGTGAAATAAATAAGATCTCAGACTTCATTTTTAAGATCCCAAGGTAATCATGCTTCCATTCCATAATCATATAAAATCATGATCTACAAATGAAAAAATATATATTAGGGTTTTGTTGAAAATCATTGGAACGAATACATACACAGTTGAAAACTTGAGGAGCTCCAGGTCCTGCATGTGATATTTGAGAAATGATTAACTATCCTTAAGTTACTTTCATGTAAATAAAGCACAGAGTAATACAAGATCATGATGTTGGTACCAATCTCAAGATCATGCCATGGATGGGCAGCTACGGATCTTCTTGACAAGGATGATAAGATCCTCTCATTCAGACGTGGAGCTGAGAGGTGGGATTGAGTTTCATTGCCACTCTGTTGACCACTCATATCTGTTACAATAAGTTAAGAAGCATAAGGCACTACATTATAGTAGTTTGCAAATGAAAAGCATGCACTGGAAAAGGAAGATTTAGTTATTCATTTCAAATATTTATAGCAAGTTATAATTTTCGATAGAAGTTACAATATCCAGCAAGAAAAGAAACAGTTTGGAGAGGTTGATATGATATTTCTGGAATCTTTAGCTCATCTTTTTCTTTTGGTGTTTGGACCATTTCACTTCATGAAATTGCAACTAATGACCATCTCATTAGCTGAAGAAGGATATTGCCGGAAGAATGCCTTCTTTTCCCAATAGATGAGGAATAAGTGAACTTTTTAGCATTGCACCAAGCAATAAACTCTTAATTATGTGGAAAAAGTAAGGATCGCCTAAAGATGCTATGAAAGTTGAGAAAGTTTCTGCAACACATTGCATATAAGCCTGAAAACAAATACAACACCATTAAAGACCACTATGAAATGGTAGGCCAGGTCATCTAGACTGGCTGAGGAACATTAGCCAATGTTCAGAGAACAAGACTGAGCATAGAACTTAACGAGGGGTAATTTAGTTCTCCAATGACATCATGACATGTGGCATCTCAAAACAGTTGGGTGACACCTTGGCACCACGTAAGCAGATCACCTCGGACACTTTATAATTGCATCAATAACCTCGGTGCCACCCCAGTAGACCAAACCACGAACAACTAGATGGGACCTTAGGTTAGTGTGTGATGTGACCTGCTTCCACCGAACTACCCCGGTCCCGTCAAGACGCCAGGTTGGCATGAGAGGTGACAAGTTCTGCCGACCAGACCTGAATTCAGCTAGCAACCTGCAGGATTTCCCTCTTGAGTGAGTTATTGCCTCTGACTTCTCTAGGATCACGACGCTCAATTGTTAGACCCGTCTATCCGCATTGTCCGCATCGGAGTTGATAGAATGGACCTTATCCCTCTATATGGATCATGTATCCAACTAAGAGATCTCCTCTGAATTTGGCAGGCACAGTTTCTTGGGAATCTCGGGCGCGTTATAGAAAGCTCTCAGTTCCTTAATCCTTACGCCTATATAAAGGCGTCCCCTCCCTCAGAGAAGGTATATGCGATTCAGCTCTCAAAAACTCTAGCTATCTCGCTCTCTAGCTCTCTCCAAAATCTCTAGTTCGTTGACTTAGGCTTCGGAGTGCCCACCCCAGGTAAAGCAGCCCGGGCAGGTGAACTAGCCAACTCGGCATCCGAGTCACCTTCCAATAGGGAGCTTCCAAATCGCGCATCATCAGAACCGAAAAAGGGAGAGGTACACAAGTCAAGCGTTCAACTATGGTCAAACCATGAATGGCATAACATATATACATATATATTGCGGGTCGGGTAAATATTATATATAATATATTGTACAAGTAACATTATATTTCAGTATGGTGCACAAATGGTAAGTTTGTTAATTTTTTAATTAAACGATCAAGGTTTAAACCTCTTAACCTTCATTTTCTTTAAAATGCAAGTGTATTGAAGCAATATATGTAGTAAAAAGGCATAAATGAACACAAATAAAAAAGTGGATTAATGGTCACAAGACAAAATTGCATAGTTAAAAAGTTATGGGTTCAAGTCTCACAATTAGCATTTTGAAAAAAAAAAAGAAAAAAACCTTCATTAAGTAACCTGGGTGGTTGTATAAAACCAGAACCAATTGACCAGTTTTCTAGTTAAACCGGCCAATCAGCCAGTTTTGACCATCTTTTGAGTTCCGATTTTTAGGGTGTGACTGAACCGATTAGAAGTCCAGGTCATGGTTCAACCGGTCCAGTCCGGTTTTCTGAACACTGACATTAACAACTAGGAGGTTGACATTCTTTCATCCCTTTTTGCTAGAATTAACTGCCCACAAATTTATTTGGGTGTGGAAGATGCAAGAAGCTGGAAGCGTGCTAGTCACACGAGTTTACAATTTTGCCCAAAATAAATTTGGTTTGTCAACTCCCTGTTTAGCTAGAACATCTACCACCCCATTTGCAGTTCCCACCCGATTGAAACTAGAATTTATCTGCTTTGCTATGGCATCAATTTCCATAAAACCATGTTTATATTTCCAAGGCACTGAATTGACTTACTTTGTCCAATTAATGACTAGTTGCAAGTCTCCTTTAACTTCCATGTCTTTGAGACCAAGCTGTAGTGCTAGTCCCATTCCTTGTAAGAGTGTCATGATTTCAGCCTTGACCAAGTCTCCTAAGCCAACTAAACCTGAATACATCACTACCACCACTTCTTAGTGATTTCTTATGAGAGACTTTCTGTGGGAACCTGGGGAAGGGAACAAAGATCATTTTTTTAGGTGGGAGAAGGTGGTGAAATCGAAGGTAGAAGGGGCTAGGAATTGGACATGTCAGAATGAAAATTTTGGCCTTATTGAGTAAATGGATTTCAAGGTTGAACTGGAAATTTGGATTGGTGAGTCCCCTTTGATGGAGATTGTTCTCTCCTTTTAAGCTCTTTCCAATCTCGAAGGTAGGCCAATACCAGAGTTTCTTTGCTTCCTTTCTTCTCTTTCTAGGTTGAACTGGAATTTGGGCTTCACTAGGAACCTTAGAGAGTCCAAGGTCCCCATTGTGTTTGCTTTGCTCACCTTGCAAAGCTCTATGGTCCTAGGGGAAGGTGCCTTGGATAGTAAAGTACCTTAATCTAGCCTAACTTTTCACCTGCAAGTCTTTGTTTACCTCTCTTATAGCCTCCTCATCTTCTGCTTCTCCTTTCCCTATTAAGGAAATTTGGTGTGTTCCCATTCCTCCTATAGTTGGTGTTTTCTATTGGGAAGCGTTTCATGGTTGTATTTTTTCGTTTTTGGTAATTTGTTTCATGGTTGTATACACTTGTGATTTACTTCAAAGGAAGAGGCCAAACTAGTACTTGTCTCCCAACTGGTGCTACTTATGCAAGCTAAATGGTGAGATTGCATTTCATCTCTAAATCTCCTACCCCTTTGTTGGCTTTATTTGGGATTGGTTTGTTTCGTTTTTTTTTTTTTTCTTTTGGTTGCAGGTGGAGGATACTTGCTCATAGCTTGGAAGGGTTGTTTAGCACTTCTATTTGTAGTTGTACAAAAAGGAGGGGCAAGCTGATGTGGAGATGTACTAGGGCAGCAGTGGTTTGGACAATTTGGGAAGAAAGAAAATTAAGAACTTTCTGGGATAAGGAGAGGAGTGAGGAAGCCTTAATAGAGGTCATAACTCTAAGAGTGGCACACTGGGTCAAGAACTTGAGTCTCCTCTCAAATTTTAAGCTTGATGATTTTTTCAAGTCTTGAGGGGTATCAGTGGAATGGTCACCTACCTCCATCTACTGGCTGGTTAAAGCTGAACTTTGATGGAGGGGTAATCGGGGATGAGGAAGGAAACATATGTGCTTTTTCTCAAGCCCAATTAAGCAAGATGATGTTGCCACAACAAAATTCTTCGTAGAAGTTTTTGGGGTTTAGAGAGCCAAAGAATTGGGTTTTTTATCAACAAACATGTATTTTATTTAAAGTTAAGATTGAAACAGTTTATACAGCTTAGAGGTGGGAATGTTAATCTCATTTAAGCACACTTTTCTGTCCCACATTACAGTGCAGCACAAAATAATTGTTGTCTCATTGCCCTCGTTTGGCTAGAGAATTCAGTCTTGACCTCCTTTGCAATCTTTTCCACTTCCCTAATCACATTTTTGAAAGTCCAAGGGGTAAGGTTGTTGTTTGCGGCCCAAGAAATGACCACATTTGACTCCCCTTCCACATCAATATGCCTAAATCCCAGCTGTTTAGCTAGCTTCAAACCTTGTAGTAATGCCAATGGTTCAGACTTTAATGTTCCCTGTGCCAATCGGTCCTGAGAACACAGCCAGTATCCTCCTTTCAGAATTTCTGATTGCTCCTCCTATACCTGAAAGTCCAAAATTTCCAAGGGAGCTCCCATCAAAATTAAGTTTGATTTTATTGCCTTCTAGTGGTTTCCATTCCATCCTTACTTCGTCTTTCACTCTTGAAGACTATGCTACTTCAGTTCAGGTTCTTAGATTGTACGTGACTAACAAGACTTGAAAGTTGTCCAAGGATTTTACCCAGTGGGCTACATTCACCTTTATATTGTGTCTATCACTTCCTCTACTGTTATGAATTTCTCTAAGAAGATCTTGTTGTTCCTTTCTTCCCACACCACCCAGCATATTGCTACCTTCGTAGCTTTCCACATTATCATCCCTTTTTTCTTTGGTTGTCTTAAGAAGTCACGGTTGAAAAGTCCTACCACATCTTGAGGGGAACCCACCTACAACCAAAAAGAAAACAAAAGAATTCCCAAATTCTATGCACAAATGAACAAAATATTAATAAATGAAATAGGGTTTCACAACTTTCCTTACAAAGAGAGCACAAATGAGGAGAAAGGCAAGCATAAGTCAGCATATCACAAGTATTTACCTTGCCAAGGAATATTTCCCAATAGAGAGCTTGAATTTTCGAGGGAATAAGCTTACACCAAATTTCCTTCACAGGTAAATCCACAACTAGGGGGTTGGGCGAAGCAAGTACTCTGAAGAAAGAAGAGTGAGTGAAGAGACCATTTGGAGAGCCTACCCAAATTCCAGGGTCTTCCAAGGACAGGTCCAAATGGACTTTCCCTAGTAGGTCCAGCAGCCAGGTTAAGGACCCACACTCATTTTCCTTTAGTCCCCTTCTGAAACCCAAGGTATTCCCAAATTAGATACAATTTCCCCCTTAAGATTTGAAAGAGCAGAGAGATCAAGAAATTGGTGATTCCAAAATAGTTGTGGACTGGATAAAGAAGGGGGAGAAGTGTCTTGGTATCTAAGGAATGATCTCAGATGGTTCAAATGGATTTCTAAGGGCATGTTCATTCAACTTAATTGGGTTAGAAGGTCTGCCAACAGTTTGGCAGATGATCTAGCTAAGCAAGAGGTTCAAAGATAGACTATGTTTTGGGCTCAGTTGTAATATTGTGGGGAGCTTAGACTCTTTTAGTCTTCTTGTTTCTTTCACAACTTCTTGTTGTTCTGTTTTCTTATAATTTTTTAATAAAATTCTTTCTAAGTTATTGATAAAAAAAAAGGTTCATGGTTAGATTTGAGAAGACAGAAACCAAAAACTAAGATCACAGTTCTAGTACCTAAAGAAAGAACTTCAAATAAGTGGGCTGCAGATTCAATAATGGGCATTCTGTCTTTATCACATTATGACATGCAGAATATCTATTCATAATTCTCCAACATGAACAACATGGTAACAGATGGCATGTTGACACTAAAGGGAAAATACAAGATCATGCATCCCTAGAACTTTTGAACAACAAAATAAGAGATTATGTATCATCTCTCGCATAAGATAACGACATCATGCAGATTCTGTCTGTAGGTAAGAAACATCGTGATTCAAATATGAAGTCCCTTGTTGTAGAAGGGTAGCACCAGAAAGAAAGTAGTGAATTAGAGAAAGAATAACTAAACAAGAAATACATTAAGAAACCAATGAAACAAGAGACGAAAAGATAATGACATGGCCCAACTATAGGTTCAAGGCATACTTTGTCCTCAAAGACCAAACACCCACATCAAAGCTCTCAAAGAAGAGCTTCAAAAAATCATCACAAAAATGCCTTTTGAAAATTGAAATAGGAAAAACAGCAGTAACCATTAAAAGTGAAGCGGTTATATGATCAGGGGTAACTTAAAACTAAACAAAGAAAAGTTGGATTGCAATTCCCACCTGCCTTTTTCCTGATTCTTTTATCTCATTCAATCAGTATTGCACACTAACATTATTGCCCAAAGATTTCCTTTGTATTATGCAATTTCTTAATTGAAGGACCAAAACTGAACTATCTATCCCATTTACAAAATATTACTGATCTTTTATAAAATAAAAATAATTCATTAACTCTATTGTGGTATCATCATCCTTGTTAAGCAACCACGTGCATCACATGTACATTTGGTTTGATGTAATGGTAAAATCTCAGGCTGACAAAGAGTGAGAAGAGAGAATGCAGGTTTGAATGTGAGAACAACCACTTTGTACAAACAAAAAGGAAGAAACCAAAGTTGTTGTCCATATGCACTAACCAGTCCACCCCTTCCAAGACACTAGAAGCTCGGATCAGCATTTGTAATGGCCTTTTGTAACTAAGAAAAGGGTGAAGAGTTGGGGTATTTGATTAGCTTGTAACTTCATATAAATGTTTTCAAGCCATCATTGACCCACACGGTCAAATCATTTGACCTGTCACCTGGACATCAATACAGTCCAGTTCAATTCCAAATCTGTTAATACCCAAAAACTTGTTGACTTTAATCAAAACCCATTTGGCCTGAATATTAACCAATGAACTGTTCAACCTATTCTATGGGTCATGGTTCATGCCATTTCATAATATAATTTCCACGTGCCAATATGATTTGAATGATAAAACTCATCTGACCAACCAGTCAATCAAACAGTCAAACCTACCTAGAGAGACTAGAGAGAGAGCGAGCTACCTTGCAACCAGCCAGTTCCAGTTACCGGCGATTCTCCCCCCCCCCC